TTATTATATTTAATAATTGAGTCATCAGAGTTAAAGATAAATTAGAACTTCTATTAGCTTACTTATCAAAATTTTGGCACCAGTCTCCTCTTCTAGAAATCACAACAACGACAACGAGGTCTTCATCCCAATATCTTGGGTCAGCTACAGAATTCAGCTAAAACAAATCGGACATTTTCTGATATTATTCCTTTTACAATGACACCTTACCAGCAAGAGAAGGACTGAGAGATCTAGACATGAAGCAATTGAGCTAATCTTTGTCTTGCTAGTCTAGAACGGCACCAATACAAGAAGTAATCACCTTTTATATCACCTTGATCAGTCAACTGGAATTGTATACATTGTTTATTGCCTTGATGAAAAAGTTAAAGCAACTGGTGCATCAAAAGATTTCTTAAACATCTGACCTTGTTTTAAAGTAAACAAAAGCATGAGAATAAGCAAAGCAGGATGCGACTGATTCTTCTAACTGCAGTTCGAAATTGTTATGGTTTAGAAGTCCCAAAAGGTCAAATCTCCAACCCCACTCTTAACATGACTTTAAGCTTTCGACCTTTCCAGTTTGGGATGCAAGGAAGCATGAAAGAATCATATGGTGGAATCTGCAAGTTTCTAGATCGAATTCTAATCTCTGGGAAGGAGAGAAATGGGTAAATATTCATTACCAACACAATTTAATGAGCTTTTAAAACCTCAGGCATTTAAGTGAAATTTGGATCTTGTGTTTGAACAAAACTAACGGAGTATGCACATACAGTTGCTACACCATATATATGATGCAGTCCCCCACATGAAACTTTTAGTACACAGGGCAACTGTCTCAGCATACAAAATTATAATACATATAGAAGCATCGTAATAAGCGCTTGCCTTGGGGTGCCTGCAAATGTGTTGGGTATGTGCTCTCCACTGCTATCAACGCCTAGCTGAACCTTAAGGCTACCCTTGGGAATATATAATAAAAACCCTAACCCTATTATGAGATCTCTTGGGCTTATATAGGCCCTACACAACTTACACATAACCCCCTCCAATCCAGCACTCTCGAGGGCATTCTGTTGATTAGTGCTGCCGCGGTCAACACTGCTTGTCCCCATAACGTTTTTGGGACATTCATGGAGATCATCATACTTCTAGCAATCTCTAAAAGATGTCTATTCTTTCTTTCCGCTACTCCATTTTGAGCAGGTGTGTATGGACACGTAGTCTGGTGTTGTATTCCCTGAGCTGACAAGTATTCCCCAAACGTTTTGTTAGTATACTCCGTCCCATTATCAGATCTTAATACCTTTACCACAGCGCCGTATTGAGTCTGAGCATACCTATGAAAATTTTGAAAGCAACCAAACACTTCACTCTTATTTTTCATCAGGTACAACCAAGTAACACGGGAGAAACAATCAATAAAAGTAACAAAATACTTGTATCCATTCATAGAACTTGTAGAACAAGGTCCCCAAACATCTGAATGTATCAGTTCGAATATACGAGAACTCCTATGACCAGAACTTACGTAAGAACTTCTAGTAAGTTTTCCAAGCTCACATGCATCACATACAATGTGCTGCTTATTTGCTTTTTCAAATAGAGATGGATACAACCTACTTAAAACATTAAAAGATGAGTGTCCCAAACGCTGGTGATGAAGCATCAACACACTCTCAGCACTCATCTCAGATCCTACTTCTACTCTCTCTATCATTGACACCAATGCTGAATCCAGTCCTTCACGATCCAGATACCACAGTCCACTATGCCATGTGCCAGTCCCAAGTCTCCGCCCTGTCCCCTTCTCCTGAAAGATCACCTTGGGAATATCAAAAGAAACAATACATTTTAGTTGAAGGATGATAGCACTAATGGATAAAAGGTTGACTGGAAAGGAAGGAGCATGCAAAACATTGGACAGAGTTACAAAACCTATACAATCGACTGTACCCTTACCAACCACTGGCTGAAATGTACCATCAGCTGTTTGAATACTATCAGGCGATGCTAGGTGAGTATATGATGAGAACTCACTAGCATTACCTGTCACATGTCGAGACGCACCGGAGTCGACTATCCATTCTGATGATTTGTCGGAAGATATGGAAGCAAGAGCATGTATGTCATCAGTACCTTTGGTCGGATGAGCATAGGTAGCAGTGTTGCCTCTGGCGAAGAATGATGTGGATGCCTCCTCTGTCCCACTCCTCCTGTCTCCATCCCCTGCTACTTGCTGCTTTCTCCTGAGTATCGCCAGGAGCGCCTGATCCTCCTCAGTAAAGATCACCTCAGCTTCTTCTCCTCCTTCTGCTATCATCAGATTCGCCCGGTTGCCTGCTCCCCTTCCACCTCGTCGACCCCCACGGCCACGACCACGCCCTCCGAACTGTCCACGTCCACCCGAATCTCCTTCCTTGGGTGGTTTGGTGCAAGCATGCCTTAGATGACCCACTTCACCGCAGTTGTAGCACTGCCGAGTCTCTCCCCTGGATCCATTATTGTTAGATGCTGCTAAAGCTGACTTCACCACAGGAAGTCCACATGTCCCTGCCTGCAGCTTAATGCGAGTCTCCTCCTGGATCATAGCCGAGACAGCCTCCTCAAGCGAGGGAATTCTCGGCTGAGCTAGCAGTAATGCAATTCGCTGAGCGAACTCTGATGTCAATCCCTTAAGAAACACCATAATCCTCTCCTGTAGAAAGGCCTCCCGCTCTTTACATCCTGGGTCCTTGCAGCTCGCCCGGGGGAGAAAATGATCATAATCCAGCCACAGACGCTCCAGCTCTGTAGCATATTCTTGTACAGTCCTCTCTCCCTGGACTGTGGCGTCAATCTCTCCTTTAATCTGGAACACCCTCAGGTTATTCCCCACTCCATCATATGTCCTCCTCAACTTCTCCCAGACGTCCTTCACCTTCTCAATGCCATCTACTGTGGCGGCGATCGTCGGGACCAACGAGTTGAGAAGCTAGATGTACACCAACATATGAGTGGACTTCTACTCATCCCGTCCTCCCGAGTCCTCATCCGGTTCTGTCTTTTCTCTAGTCAAGTACCCCTCCAGGTTCCTCCCTGCAAGGGTGTATCTCACCCGTCGTGACCAACTCAGATAAGTACTCGGTCCATCAAGCTTCAGATCGATGGTTGGAAGCTCCAACTTCTTTGATGGTCTTGTCGCGCTTTCATCAGCCGACAACTTCATCAACTTCATCAAAGTTGACACCTCCGCAGGGTTCAACTTCTTGATGATCTCCTCCATCGATCAAGCTTCAGATCCAACACATGTTCACCTTTCTCTTCAAACCCTTATTGTGCGCAGTGAAAATTTCGGCAGCACTTCTGCTGCACAACAAGAGTAAGATCTCCAACAAATTCTCGTTTCTCAGAGGAAACAAGAACCAAAAAAGTGATATATCTCATCGCCGTGAGATATATACTCTTCCTGCATCAGTTCGAGGACTGATCGAGGGAACCAAGTGGACCAATGAACTCGAGTCCTAGATGGTGACGGGGGGTTCGAGTGGCAGCCAGCGGCTAAGGGGGGAGGTTTGAGGGGTTCGGCGTGGTGAGGGTTCGTTGTGTGAAGGGTTCGGGCTGGGGAGGTTGGGTCTGCAGGGGCTGGGCAGCAAAAACAGGAAGTGGGGGGGGTCGGTCTGCAGCAAAACAAAAAAAAACAGGGAGGGGGTCGGAACTGAAGGGGGGGGTCGGGGAGGGATCGTGCTGGGGGGATCGGTGCTGGGGCAGGCGAAGCGGGGTCGGGAGGGGATCGGTGCGGGAAGGGGGGCCTGGGCTGCCGACGAAGTGGGGGGGGGGCCTTGGACTGCCGACGAAGGGGGCTGGGGGCTGAAGGGGGGTCGGCTAGGAGAGGAGAGGGGGGGGCAGCTCCTGATACCAAGTTGATAATAAAAACCCTAACCCTATTATGAGATCTCTTGGGCTTATATAGGCCCTACACAACTTACACATAACCCCCTACATATATTACTAATGTCAACATATAGCATTAGCATTCACTCTTCTATCTTGAAGCTGGGAGTAAGACACATTTAGAACACACACATCCAATATGACAATAGTTGCCCTTGTGGCATTTTTATGTGGTACGTTAGTACTGGACCAAAGGTTGTGCTCCTATTTATCTTATCCATGTTGTCATGTCATGTTTATATCTTTGTTGGTGTTTCATAGCTTAAAGGATTAGGAGAACAAGTATGAGTGCATATACAGCATCAATTACCTGTGCTCAAGCAAACACAAGTCTTTGAAAATGTTGTGAACTGTGCTTCGATAGAGGCATTATGAATCTCTGGAGGATTATGCACTGTCGGTGTGTCATGATCGCATTTATTTCAATTCATGTAAGCAAATCTAAGTGCAGAACTTAAGTAATAAAAACCCTAACCCATCTAACCCCAACACATAATTCATCATATGGTCATCAATTAAGCCTTCTCCAATGTCAAGTGTCGCACTTTATGGAGCACCAAAAAGATAGAAAAATCAAGAATTGGAAAATCTTCAAAGAAAGACTATACCAGAAAAGCACACATGAGAATATAGAGATTATAATAGAAGCCTAAAAGGAAGGTTAAGGTAATCTTCCTTATTTGTATGCAAGTTGAGCTCATCAAACTAGGCAGCACATCTCCATAACCCCATAAATAAATAAAAATCCAGAACGAGGAGGTGACAACAACATTGTCCATAGGTATATCAAACAAAAATCAGCCCTGAACAGGCCACGTAGTGAATCACCTCATAATTATCAGGAATAAATGCAGATCAAGTAACCTATCTTGTCACTTGAATCAATCCTAAGAGAACACGGTATATGTATAACAGTATGAATATGCAGACATGTTTACATCAAACAACAACATTACTTTCACTAATTTATATTATTTTTAGCTGTTTGTAGTCTTCAGTTACTGATACTTGGCAAGAAAAAGAAAGATGCTCATGTACATCTTTCAACGTGAGCTAAAAGAAAAAGAAAAGATATGACATACGTGTAAGTCATATTATTATATACTTTTGGAGGCGCGTTTAGCATCATGTAGTCCATTATACACTTCGCGCAGGTTCCGGAACCACCCCCTATTTCATATATCTAAATAAAAAAAATGATAGTACATAGGTCAGTCACAAATAATAGAGAAATGAATAACAAATAGATAATCTACAGCATATAGCCATTTGTCATCTGAAATAATAGGGATGTAAGAAAACTCAGCTTATAAAGTTTTAGGCAACATCAAAACAACAATTTGGGTGAATACTGTTTTAATAGGCAGGTAACAACCAAACTGAATTGTTGTTTTTCACCAAACAAGTTAAGAAAAAGCTGCAAGTGTCATTTGTGCGCACAATGGATCAACTTAACAGCCACATAAATCTATTCCTCAGTTTCTTCACTTTCTTGTTAAAGCATAGAAAATGGGTAATGCAGCAAGTGTCAGAAAATAATATGGGAATAAGGAAAGACGTGGATAGGCAGTTTCTTAGGTTTCCAACCACCAAAACAAATGCTTAAATGTTGAATCATTTTTCACACATATTCAGCTACTTACAGCCAGCATAAGAGTTATACAAGATAAATAGAATATAGTAGTATATGGTGATCGAACGATCCAAAACCATAAAGAGCTCCAATACCCTCTCTCTTTAAGTATAGCATCTCAAATTATACACAATTACAAAAACAGCCCTCTTAAGATTCTTAGTCAAGCTGACCTATAAGTATCATATACTCTCATCCTGCTAAAGAAATGTATTTCACTCTTGAACTCCCCCAGTGACTTAGCAAATAAATCAGCAAGATTATCAATGAACGCACACGCACTATCTTCACGACTTTCTCCAAACTTTATATTAAACAAGATGGCAATCAATGTGCCATTAAGATTGGATTTTTTACAGTATGGATCACAGCTTGATAATACTTCAACCAGAGTAACTCACTAGTATCTGTTATCCTGAATTTAGGTTCTACACAGGATCTAGCCACAACATTCTGCTTCTTACTTTTCCAAATCCGGAAATATCAAATTAGCTCCATAAAAGACAATACCAATGGTTAATCTCCTATCATGTGGTGAATTAACCAAATCTACATATGTAAAACCTTCAACATTCATAATCTATGATTCTGAGACAACAATCCCTGTCTTGAGCACATTCAAGATTTCTTCAAAATTCAAATATGGATTACGAAAATTCTTATAACCAAGGTTGCTGATAGCGGATCGCGGCGCGTCGCGACGAGGTACCGCTAAGGCTATATCGGGCTATTGCAGCAAAATCGCGGCAAATAGCGCACAGTCAAATAGCGGTTAAATTTAAATATATTTAAATATCCTAAATAATAAGAAAATTCATAAAAAAAATCTAAAAATTCAATTAGTTGTAAATTTCTTGTATTATCAGTAAATAACAATTAGTAGGCTTGTTGTATGAATGAAACTATGAAGAAATTCAAGAAATATAGCATCATAATATGTGTGATAGCGGGTTTAGCCGCTTTTAACCGCGAAAATCCGCTTTTAACCGTGAAAACCCGCTTTTAACCCGCTAAAATCCGCTTTTACGTGCTATTCAAATGAATAGCGGATTTTCCCGCTTAAGCCAGCCGCGAAACCCCTATGCGTAGCGCTGAAGGGCCGCGACCGCTATTCGCGCCGCTATAGCCCCGCTATTGGCCGCTATTTACAACACTGCTTATAACTAGTGCGTGGAGTATGAAGAAATTGACACACTACATTAATTGCACATGAAACATCAGGTCTCATGACATAAGATAATTCAATTTACCAACCAACCTGTGATATCAAATGAGAAGATCAAGCAACTCTCGACTATTTGCTACCAACTTTCTATTAGCCTCAGTAGGTGTATCAACTGGCTTGCATCCCAACATACTTGTCTCGCTCAATAAATCAAGAGCATATATCCCTGAGATAAAGAAATAAAATATCCAGGCTGTTCAACTCCATTCCATGAAATATCTCAATTATCCCAGATCCTTAACTGGCACGTCAAGTAGGTCATATTGCAAGTCAAATTTTTGTCCATGATTTTCATGTGCAAGAAATCGGCGCCTATTGAAAGAGTTGATATCAGGATGATAGCTGAAAGTAAACTTTTGCCAGATATCATGTGATCCTTCTCAATTGAAGTTGTGGCACCAGATTGAAAGGTGATGACAATGATGATATCGTGATTAGCATACTAAATGAGGTAAACCAAGAGTATAATTGGATAAAACTGACATAAAATTTAGTATAAATTAAAGTCAGACTGCATCGCGATTTCGGACAGATCCAAAGACAATACAATAAATGAGCTCCAGACTCCAGGTTTGGAGTTACATTGACTAGTTTATTTCTTAGCTTTTACTTGATATTGGATATGTTATCAAATCTATGTTTTTGCGCAATTAACCTTTTAGAATCACTGTTTTCTTGGAGAACCCAACATATTTCATGTTTCAGTTGAATAAAATCTTCATATCAGAAGGAACAAAGATAAACATAGAAGAAATTGAACAAAGTTGAGAAAGGAAACATTACCTTTAATGGGACAGAGAGGTTAGCTGTTCGCAGTATTGCTTCTGCTATACCATGTGCATACCAAGGCTGCAAGAACAA